GACGGTGATGGAGGAGCAGAGGATGGATTCCATGATGGCCGTGTAGACGTGGACCATCATCATCTTTGGCATGTTGAATTTCCTCAGCTGCCTCAGGAAGAACAACCTCTGCTGAGCCTTCTTGGTGATGGAGCTAATGTTCAGCTCCCACTTAAGGTCCTGAGTGATGATGGAGCCCAGGAAACGGAAGGAATCCACAATAGTGACGGGGGAGTCACACAGGGTGATGGGGGAGGGTGGGGCTCTGTTCCGCCGGAAATCCACAACCATCTCCACTGTCTTTAAAGCGTTGAGCTCCAGGTTGTTCTGGCTGCACCACGACACCAGATGGTCAGACTCCCACCTGTAGGCGGACTCGTCCCCAGAGAGATTAGTCCAATGAGGGTGGTGTCATCCGCAAACTTCAGGAGCTTGACGGACTGGTGGCTGGAGGTGCAGCTGTTGGTGTACAGGGAGAAGAGCAGAGGGGAAAAAACGCAGCCTTGGGGGGAACCGGTGCTGATGGTCCGAGAGGCTGAGACATGTTTCCCCAGCTTCACGTGCTGCTTCCTGTCAGACAGGAAGTCTGTGATCCACTTGCAGGTGGAGTCGGGCACGTGCAGCTGGGAGAGTTTGTCCTACAGCAGAGACGGGATGATGGTGTTGAAGGCAGAGCTGAAGTCCACAAACAGGATCCTGGCGTAGGTTCCTGGGGAGTCCAGATGCTGGAGGATGTAGTGGAGGGCCATGTTGACAGCATCGTCCACAGACCTGTTGGCTCTGTAGGCGAACTGCAGGGGGTCCAGGAGGGGGTCGGTGAGGGACTTCAGGTGGGTCAGGACTAGCCGTTCAAAAGACTTCATGACTACAGAGGTCAGGGCGACGGGCCTGTAGTCATTGAGTCCTGTGATCCTGGGCTTCTTGGGAACAGGGATGATGGTGGAGGCCTTGAAGCAGGCTGGTACGTGGCATGTCTCCAGGGAGGTGTTGAAGATGTCAGTGAACACCGGAGACAGCTGGTCAGCACAATGCTTCAGGGAGTGAGGGGAGACTGAGTCCGGACCGGCTGCCTTACGGGGATTTAGTCTTCTAAAGAGCCGGTTAACGTCTCTCTCCAGAATAGAGAGGGTCGTTGCTGGTGGGGGAGGGGAAGGTGATATAGTTGAAGAGGCGTGAGCACCTGATGGGCTGGGGGAGGGAGGGGAGGGGGACTGCAGCAAGTTGGTGGAGCTGTGGGGGATGGGATCAGGACATTGTCTTTCAAATCTGCAGTAGAACTCATTCAGCTCGTCTGCCAGGCGGAGGTCATTCATGGAGTGGGGGTTTTTGGCTTGTAGTTGGTGAGGTGTTTGAGGCCTCTCCAGACCGAAGCAGAGTCACTTGCTGAGAACTGTTGTTGGAGTTTCTCAGAGTACAGTCGTTTAGCATCTCTCACCGCCTTGCTAAACTTGTATTTTGCCTGTGTACAAGTCTTTGTCCCCACTCCTAAATGCATGATCCTTCTGCAGGCGTAGTGTTCTGAGTTCCGCTGTGAACCAGGGTTTGTCGTTGTTGTAACTCACCCTGGTGCATGATGGTACACAGCTGTCCTCACAGAAGCCGATGTAGGAAATTACAGCCTCTGTGAACTCATCCAGACTGTCAGTAGCAGTCCTGAAAACATCCCAGGAGACGACCTGGAGAGTCACGTCTTTGTGTGTCTTTGTGTGTGGAAGTCGTTGGTTGCTTTATTTATTTATCAGAGACTTTATTGCCCCGTGCATCCACACTGCTGCTTTTAATCAAGGACATATTTGTCCCGTATTTTCCTCCACGACTTTGTTCCCCTCGTTTGTGGAGATCTCCCTCCATGAATCAGAGGCCGTCCGGCGTCCTTATAGTCCGCCAATGACGGCTTGTAGAAGCGCTCACATTTACGCATTTCTTCACACAAAAGCTCTTCAATCTGATCCGTTCTCTCGTAAACATTCCTCGTTTTGATAGTGGCGGTAGTGTGCTATGAAAACGGAAAAGTGAGACTCCGTAAAGGACGTAGTTAGCAGGAGGCTTGTGTAGCTTTTGACGCAAGTCTAGAAAAATGGGTCGACGCACACAAGGAGGTGTGAAAAGACACGCAAAGGACTTAAGAATACTGGAGCTTTGAGTTAAAGTGAATTGATAAAGTATGAACTGAAAGCTGTACAAAGTTACTACTTCATCCTGTTTAAGGCGCCCGTTCACTTTCATTTTAAGCCGCTTCATTGAATTGCTGTTATCTTGGTCTGTTAACTTCTTTAGATTATTCCATATTATTTTGGAATTACCTCCTGCTTCATCAATGACTTTAATAAAAAATAACTAACTTCTTTCGTTACCTGGTTTCTCAACATTATGAATTTCTGCCTTTCATTTCCTAGTTTAGACTTGAGTGCCAGTTTTAACACAGTCACGTTTTCTCAGTAAATTCCAGATGTCATTATTTACCAATGGAAGTGCGTTTCATTGATTTAGTTTAACTTTGGCTTTTTGAAGCAAACGGTTACCTGCGCTCTGTATTGTGGATGAGAAGAATTTACTGACTTCCTCAACACTTGCACCCGTTAAACAGTTGCTCCAGTCGATTCCTTGCAGAGCATCCTCAAACGCATTGGGGTCACTTTGAGGTGGTCTTAATTGATAAGCCTTTCTGGTAGTCGACATATTAAAACGACTCTTGTTAAGAGTATTAAATTATGCTCAGACGAACCAGTTACCATATTGCGTGTTTTGATCATTCTTTGTTGTTTATTGATTAAAAAATCAAATCAATCAGGGACTGAGAAGAGTGGATTATCCTTGTGGGTTTGTTCACTAACTGGCTCATATTAAAGCGATCCATCGTACGTTTTAGGGATCTTCTTCCAGACTCATCCTCCCAATCTACATAATAATCACCCATTAATATAACCTCTTTGTCAAAGTCACATTCCTTTAACATGGAATTAAGCTGATTATAAAATTCACATTTGGACGACGGCGGTCTGTAGAGACAGATTAGAGTAAAATGCATTTGAGATGATAGGGACACTCAGAACAATACATTCCAATTGGACATCAGTAGACCACTTAATGTGGCTGCAGTTAAGTTGTTCTTTAATGTAAAACATTACTCCTCCTTCTTTACCAGTAGATCCGTACCTTCTAAACATATTGTATCCGCGCACATACCAAGCACCAGGGGGCGAGTGTATATGCAGCCACGTTTCTGATGGGACGCAGAACGTCCGGGTTTGAATCCACAACAAGATGTTTTATTCGATCCATTTTAAGACTTTGAACATTCAAATGCCCTCCTAACAGTCCTGTAGGTCTTGCATGTGTATCCCACAGCACACGGGCGTGAGGGATATTAACATTGAACATGTGGGCCGACAGTGAAAGAGGAAATCACCTTTCCATTGAATTGTATTTCTTAAGATAACAACAGTATTGACTCGGCTCATCAAAAACAAAACTATAGAAACAGTGAACAACAGACGGGAATACCTTCACCAAGAGCGGATAAACAACATCAACCTAAAAGCCACATCAATAAGTAGAATGGAAGCTATGGGAATACCAAGGGGGGGGGGTGTCTAATGAGAGGAGCAGGATCTGGAAGACGCAACATTTCCCCTGTTGGCGCTGAGAGGTTTGAACCCGCGTGGCGCCGAGGAGGAGAGCCCTCCTGTCGACAACATGAGCGGCGCCAAAGGGAACCGTGAGCAGTGACCGGACACCCGTCATCCCGCCGAGAGGAAGGACTTCCTCAGCCCAGACTCCGCTTGGACCTGAAGAAGACCAGCACCGACCACAGCACGAGACCAGCACTGTTCCAGGGGGACCGGAAGCAAGACTAGGACAGATTCAGAAAGGGTCCAAGCAAACCCCTCGGCCGTTCCCAGACCACCTCACAGTGATGGTGAGTTTCCAAGCGGCTCCACTGACACTACCTCATGGACAGCAACAAGCATTCAGCATGAGAGACACCCTGAGAATGGTCGAGAAACCACCTCCGCCTCTTAGCAGTGAACCACCGCTGAGAGCTCTCACTGAAGAACTAGTGAGAAGCTTGACGACACCTTCTCAGGGTTATTGCTCTCATGATTTAGTAAATGCAAACAGTTGTTTATTGCTGTGATAGCAGTCTCCATTATGGCCAGCATTCTAGTCTCAGGCGGATGCTGTTGCGTCCTCTGCATCAGGACTCTTATCACTAGAGTCATAACCACCGCAAGCACCCAAGAAGATTGTTGGTTATTATAAAGAAACTGGCAACCCGGTGCATGAATTAGACCCGTTAATAAAATGCATTCAGTGTACACCGGGATACAGCCACGATTCTGAAACTATGTAATCAATAAAGAAAAGAGAATAGTGTAACACCACTGTGATTTAATCAACGGAATAATACCAATACTCAGCTATGATTGTATTCAATGTAATGTAACCAACCAAAATGCATGCATGTGATACTTGATAGAACCACTGATGTTGACCGAGGGACATTCACAATCCGAGTTACAGTGAGCGCACAATCCAGTGTAAAACCTCATTGCACCACCATGTTCTCTGAATAACGAGTCGACTTGAACACACCAGGGGTCACATGTCCAGGAGTGTGGACACTAACTTCCACACCTCTACTGAACTGCATAAATACCTGTAGGCAGCCATTGTTCTAGGAATTCGTTGGTGGAAGCAAGGCACAGTCACTGGGTGGTCAACGGGCCGCTCTGTGGCCTGATTGCAGAAACCAGCAGCTCCTCAGCTGAGATGTTCTTCTCAGTTTTTACAACACAACATTACCATCAATGGACATTATGTAAATTTCTTTTTGAAAATTCTGCGACTTTTAAAAGATGATAAATGAAACCAGAAAAACTTGACGTCATCAGCTTATTCCGTACTGCATCAACCTCCCAACACCTGCGCCATGTTTCCAGCGCTGTGCCCCCAAAGGAGATGTGCTTCAGTAGTATTTGGAGGTGGAATCTTAGATGGACGTCCATGGGTCGCTCCTCTGCTCCCAGGAGGATGTAAAGTCAGCGGGCAGCTTCTTCAAGACTGTCAAACACTGGTTGGTCAACTTCCACATCCTCGTGGACATTGAGTTGAGCCAAGTCCTCTGTCCCTTTATCAGCCCAAACTGAAGGATGTCCTTCTGAACGCCGTTCTCTGCATCGTTTGCTAACAATCACAATTGATTTGAAATCGTTTGTAAAAACAATCCCACGTTTCCCAAATGCAAACGACAACTTCAACGATGTGTGCGACTAAGACAGAAGTAGTCGACCAGGAGTGATCACACTCCTGTGACATGTAACGATAAAAAGAAAGAGTATGATGATTTAACAGTCACCCTCAATATGCTTTTATTGTGGAGAGGACTTTATTGATCAGCTTGTGGCTTTTCTCTGGCTCCTTATTGGACGGTGGAGTTTTGACAGATTGTTGCTCCCAGCATGCAGATGAAGATCAGCTGGCTCTCAGATCAGATCTCACTACTGTTCACCGTGTGACGACTTCCTGTGAGGACCTGAGTTTGTTTGTCCTGCAGCTCCCCGACCTGAAGGACGCTGAGGCGGTGCAGAAGTTCTTCCTGGAGGAGATCCAGCTGGGGGAGGAGCTTCTGGCTCAGGGTAACAACACCTTCACAGTTTGATTCTATTTTTTCTAGTTGTTATTCCAAGGAGAACGTAGACGGCTTTCATAGGAACCTACTGAAAATGAGGAGTGACTTTCTGTGAGACGTCACCACTGTAAGAAGCCCATTGAGGACATGTGTCTTCACCTCGCGTCCTTGTGCTCCTCAGGAGACTACGAGAAAGGCGTGGACCACCTGACCAACGCCATCGCCGTGTGTGGTCAGCCTCAGCAGCAGACTCTGCCTCCACCCGTCTTCCAGATGCTCCTCACCAAACTGCCCAGCATCAGCCAGGTAGGGGGACACGTCTCTTTGTCCTTCATTTGGACCTTACGGGTCCTTCTGTCCTCCACGCAGAAAGAACACGAGAAAAAATGTTTATCGTCTTTGTTCTGCTCCTGCAGCGCATTGTGAGCGCACAGAGTCTGAGCGAGGAGACAACCCCCCCCCAAACACTCACCCTCATCTTCATCATCTGGACCTTCCAAGACGTCCCCCCCGACGCCTCGGCCTCCATCACTCCGGGCCGCCGTCCATCACTTCCTGAAGGGGAACTCGTTTCTTTACTCCTGGTTCATCCATGACAGTGATGTTTAGTTCTTTTTAACCTGAATGACCCGTTTTGTGGCGTTCAGAGTCTCTGGGTCATGACGTAGGCGTGCACTCTGCAGGTGGAGCGTGTTACCGTGAAGGGGCTCCTTCCTTCTGGGTGGTGCAGCACACGTGCTGACAGCCTCATGTACCCGGGTTACACCGTCTGACGTGTTGGTAACGACCGTCTTCCTGCTTCTCATGAGATCACAAACAGGAATCTTCTCTTTGCTCGGATGCTTCAAAGTATTTATTGTGTGTTTTTCTTTGTCATCGGTCGTCTTTCTGTTCGTTCTCGACTTTTAAAAAGTGATCAAACGTTTTGTTTAGTCATTTTAAAGAGGACGACCCTCTTTAGGAAAATAAAAAGAAACGTGAAGGAACTCTGAAGTTGTCTTGTGAGGTGATTTTGTATCTAAAGGAGGTCACGCCTCCTCCACGTGGTCCAGTCGCTGTGCACGTGTCATCAAGGAGACAAACAGGTATGACGTCATAAACTCATGAAGCTGCTTCATGAATAACAGCCTGTGCAGCTCCAACAACTACAGCTCAGCTGCTAAACTCTTGTTACATCATTTAAGTTCATGGTTTTGCTCTCGGGCACCAAATAAATACTTTGTTACTACAGCAGGAAAACTGTGGATCAACGTTTGTGTATAATTACAGTTGTATTTGGTTATTATTCTGCTGCTGGTTCTCAGTCGAGTGGATTCTCCTCAGTATCTGAAGCCACTGAACAGTTTCATCAACCTCGTGTATTAACTCACGTTAGAATTGATCTTTCTGTGGAACTCGTGTCGTTCACACTGACCAATTGTCACGTGATCAATAAACAAAGAACTCGGACATGTTTCCTGCATTAAACAAGACGTTTTTAATTAACATGAATATAAATATAACTTGTGTAAACCCGTCATTTCTGTTCAGTGTTCAGTTCAAGTTATTTATGAGGCAAGAGTAACTTGTTCAAGAGATGTATGTTTCCTTTTTTTCAACAATCACTCATCTTTATTTTTAAGTCTTATTACAAATATTCACAAAACAAATCAAAATGAGCCAAAGTGACTTTAAATAATTCAAACCACTTTTCACACCAAAAGAACATTTGCATCTATATTATTAATTCACTTTCATGCACAATAACAACAAAACAAAGTGTATTCTGTGAACATGATGGAAAGGTCAGAGGCGTTTATGAGAATATTAAATATTAAACAATATGTTTTCAGAGGCTTCACATCAGATATAATTTGTTTTGCTGATTTACTCAAAGTCAAACTTCAGCTTTGGATATTTAGTGAAAATAAAACAGTCTGGATTTAAAAGGTTGAAATAGATATTCTCCATAAGGCGTCATGACACAGAAATAAAGAGAAAAACATACAGTATTTATATAAAATATGTACATTTATTCCCTTTAATGAATAAAATCATCACATGAAATCAGAGAATGATTAATTTACTCCGACAGGAGAGATGATCAGAGGAGCAGAGTTTCTACCATCGTTACCACCAGGATTAAAAAACGGGAAGAGCTTCTCAGTGAAGGAGCAGCCAGTGAAGGAGTAGATGAGAGCTGCAGCTTCTACGTCATAAAAGGAGACCACACCCTCCTCATAGTCCACAAACACCCCCACCTTCTGAGGACCAGACTTCACAGAGAGATCAACTGCAGGATCATCAAAAGCTTTGTATTTATTTCCACTTATCAAACGTATGATCCAGTAACCATTCTGAGGACTCCCTGTCTCCCTGAATCCCTTCCTGTTGACTGACTCTCTGTTCACTCCTAAAAACCACCAAGTCTTTCCTTCAACCTGAACCTCAAAGTAGAATCTGCCTGAAGAGAAACTCTGCTTTGTTAAAACACAGAGCCCATTAGAAAATCTCTCTGGGTTGTTTGGGAGATTCTTCTCCACATCACCAATTCTCACTTGTTTCCCATCGTCAGACAGGATGAGACGAGGATGAGCTGTTTCAGGATCAAGAGTCAGATCCACTGCAAACATCTGGACCCTCTTCAGCTCAGCAAACCACTTCTTCATCTTCTTACTGAGTGTCTCCTCCAGCTGAGACACAGCTCTCACCACAGTCCCCTCATATGAAGGACAAACACTGACCTCTGTCCAGTCCTTGGTGGGTGGTGGCTGATGGATGTTTGAGGACTGGAGAAGATGGAGGTGGTCTTCAGTGAGAGAGAGCTGCTCCACCTCAGCGCTCCTCTTCATCAGCTCAGAGATTTCCTCTTCCAGCTCTCTGATGAAAGCTTCAGCCTGTTTCTTTGTGGCTTCCTGCTTCTCTTCTATTGTTTTGAGGAGCACCTTCAAGCCTTTTTCAACAGACTCCATCAGATCAGTGAAGACCTGAACACCTTCTGCTTTCTCTCTGTCTGCATCTTCCTCACTGAGGTCGACCGAGTGTTTGATCTCCTGAATCTTCAGTCTTCTCTTCTGGATCACTTGCTGAATTTCAGCCTCTTTCTTCTTCAGCTCGACCTTCTTTTCTTCACATTTTTCTTTCAGAGGAACATACTCATGGTTCTTGTGGTCTAAAACAGTGCAGAGCGCGCAGACACACGTCTGGTCGCTCTTACAGAACAGCTCCAGAGGTTTATCGTGCTTCGTACACATCCTGCCTTCCAGGTTCTCCACAGGGTCCATCAGCTGATGTCTCTTCAGGCGTGAAACTGTCAGATGAGGCTCCAGGTGAGTCTCACAGTAGGAGAACAGACACACAAGGCAGGACTTGAGGGCCTTCACTTTGGTTCCAGTGCAGACGTCACAGGGAACTTCTCCTGGTTTGGACTCTTGTTGCTCTGAGCTGCTGCTGCTGGCTTTCTGCTGAGCAGACTGTCTGAACTGAACAACCATCTCAGAGATGAAGGTGTTGACCCTCAAATCAGGTCTGGTGGTGAAGTCCTTCTTACACATTGGACACAGGTTCTGGTCGCTGGTGTTCCAGTGTTCATTGATGCAGTTTATGCAGAAGTTGTGTCCACATGGTGTGGTGACTGGATCAGTGAACACATCCAGACAGATGGAGCACAGGAACTGATCTTCAGATGGACCATAGTTTGCAGAAGCCATGTCTACACATGTTGTGGAAAGAGAAGAAAAACGTTTTATTTAAAATAGTTTTTATGAATAGTTTTATTTTTGAAACCAGTCCAGAATGTGTCCACATGCTGTGAATAAAGAGCAGCACGCTAACAACGCTCTGCTTTACTTTGGTTGACAAACACGTAGCGTCTCATTTAGATGACTCACACTAAAAGCCTTCAGCAGGTTCCACTGTGAACACGTTTAACTTGGATCCACCAAGAGGAAACAGGAGGAAAGGGGATCAGGGAAACAGAGAAGACACTAAGAGTTTAAAGCACAGAGATTC